AATCACGCTGAGCTGGATCGAAACATTGAAAATTCATATAGGTATAGGATTCTTGTATTCAGGCAGCTGCTATGAATTAAAAACAAAAGCTGCGTTTTCTTTATAAGACTACCCGTACAAATAGGCGCTCATAAAGCTAGGTTCAACCTGTAAAATCGCGAGCTTCCCCGCGCTAGCCATGGCATTAGTTTTATACTTCGAAGTAAGTGTTTTGTGCTTTAAGGATTTCAATGCTGGTTTACTCCATGCCAAGAATGTTATAATAGTAATATTACATGGCACATACATCTATGAAATGCCTCATTTATTGCCACGCCTCAATAATCGAGGCGTGGCATGGCTGGTGGTGGTAGTGGAATTTTTCCAAGATGGAGGTATCATGCATGCGAAATATAAACACTTTTCGTTTCAAAACAGGCACTTATTCGACAGCAAGCCTAGTTCGTGCAAAGCTTGAGAATCAACGCAAGCAAAAATGACATGCTCGGTATTAGCATAATAGCACTTTAACCCGCTTGTACGCACGCTACACGTTCAGGATATTCATTGGTCTTATTAACTTCCATTGAGTATTATATAATACAAGCGTTGTAAGTTATGCATACACTGATGTAACATTTAAATGCAAAGAGAACCGATGGCTGGATCGCTGGTGTACCTCTTCGACGTTTGGGTTGGCGAGATGTCGGGTCAGGACGCGATCCACGACATGGACTTTATGGTCCCAGCGGGAACTCGTCTGGACTTGGCCGACGGGACGTTGTGCTTGCCGGACGAGATTCGCATTCATCTGTGAAATGCAACGATATATATAAATACTAGCAACACTACAAGGACAACCTTTCATATGATACTATGCCAGCGAATACTATATGCTGTTGGTAACTGAGGATACTGTAGCTGCTTGTGCTTGATCAGTAAAGTGGGTCCTGTAACATCAATTTCTTTGTTAACTTATCACCAACATCAAATCGTTTTGCCACCAACACGTGGACAGCAGAACATCAAAACAAGAGTTCAACAAAAAGCGCAGTTTTCAATCAATTGTTTCCAGATTAAACATCAAGCAATCTTCCAACTTTTGGTCATCCCGGCTAGCAAAAAAAACTACGTCTTTTGATTACTGAATACTAACTCGTGGCCGTGCAATTCGTTACACCGTTATTCTCAGATAGCAATTATGTTCACGAAACGATTGCAGGGAGATCTACCTATTCTCACCACATAATAAAGCGATAATCTTTTCTTTGAAACTGTATCGCTCCGTCATGCAGAGAAAAAAAAATGTACCAGTGCACTGTCAGCGACCCCTGACTTCAGACGCGGTTTACGTGTAGCACCGGGATACGGCAACATATAACTTTACCAGTTTCTTGCTGTGTCCAAGTAGCCAAAACTTGCTGGGCAACATCGAATTATCAGCATTTTTTTCACTTCCAGTTTGTGATATTTTTAAGGCTAGCATATAAACGATGCCAGTATCCAGACTTACATGTCGATGCTGTTAGCGTAACCGATAAAGTGGCGTCTGAAATTTTTAAAATTATAAGATTTTGAAAAACAAATGAAAATTTGATGGACCACACATCGCTTCTTCAGACAACTTTGTGAAGACCGCCAGTCAAAAAAATGTACATAGCCATGGACTCAGGCGACATTTGCGAATTAACTGTAAAGCCTGCTCTGACAGCTGTAATAACAACGGTTAGGCTGTTCAGCCAGCTAAAACTGTCCGCCCAGTATACTAGAGGCGAATAATAGTTTGGGATGACATAGACTTTTTTCAAGCAGAAATAAGGACATTCTATTATTCTTAATTTTCTAAAAGTATTCTAAATTTTTATTTGATGATACTGAGGTCAACTAAGGGGAGTGGGTGGCACGCGAAGCCAAAGCAAACCGCGGGGTACTCTCGAAGCTGGGCCACCCGGTATTTGCGATGGCAAGTCCAGCAATATAGAAATCGTTGCTATCCTCGCTCATCAGTGTGTGCCTCTCTGATGGCCTTGGCTACACGATTTGGAAAATAATTATTACCTGTTGTTCTAGCACTTTTTAGCTGTTGCACGATTCCAGCCCCTACTAACCTGTTGTGGGCACTGATGGACTGTTGCTCGTTCGTACGCAATATGAAAATCTGTTACAGTATACTTATTGCATATTTATATTTTGTAAACATTTGGTTGTCTCTTCGTGATGTTGTTTTTTGTACACAACTTTAACGCGTTGCAGTGTTACATATTGAACCTCTTACTTTACAAATTGTTTTATTCGATAGCACTGTTATTTTTTGCAAAAGAATAATTTTCTATAATACTTATTACCAGCACTACACATTACAATAAAATGAGGGTTTACTTCTATATTTTAGTGTAAAAGAGCTTACTACACTTAACAAAATTATGAAATTTCATAATCTACGTACTTGCAACTCGAATTGAATGCTTTACTATCGATTTTTGCAGGTCCCTAGTTCGCAGTGTCCGAAGCACTCACTACGTCTGCCTCTAATTTGTTGATGTAGATATGCATGTAAATGTACGTGTGTAGTGTGTGCTCTAGTTTGAAACTCGAATTTGGAGATGGTGAGCCATGTTCACAGCTCGAGCCAGCTGTTCGGCCGCGTAGTCTCTCAAAGATCCGTCCCCGAATCGAACGGACCACTTGTACACGCTGTCTGACAGACGTAGTCCAACAACTCCTCCAATAAAGTTGCTTGTTTCCTCTGAATCATCTCCCAGCCTTTGCTCCTCCACTACCTTCCAGCGCAGTGGCTGCCAAGGTTGTCGATAAATAGCCGAAGTAGCTGGTCTACATCGTAGAATTCATCTTGGGTGGATTCTTCGGTAAGTGCTAGTCTTCGAGCTCGAGGTCGGCCAGGGGTCCGCCTCACTGGTACACTGGCCATAGCAGCGTCTACACCAAGTAGACCGAGAAGTGATAGCGTAGCAATTGCATGTGAACAAATCCAACCTGAACGCACGAAGGATTCACACGTGCAGTGGAGGAACTGTCGAATTTGCTGTATGATGTGATCACGCCAAATCGGAGCTAGTTCGAATCTAGGTGAGAGTGTTTGAGCCATGATCAACACTCTGTGTAGAGAGAGTAACTCGAATTTCACTTCATTTGCCTTGATCCCTCTCGATAATCTTCCCTTCAGAGAATGCAGAAATTTTACAGCACACGCTTGATCAATATCAGTACCTAACAACCCTTGGCTGCCGACAATGTGCTGTGACACGTTAAACACAATCGTGGTCAATTGTCTGTTCCGCCCGCGTCCACTAAATACCTTCTTGTAATTGCGTGCTGTCGATGTGCTGCAGCTTTGGCTAGCATCTCAGGGGGAAGAGGCCCTTCGCAGTAAAGCGTACCCAAATTAGGGCACAGGTTCTCTCCACCGGCCTTCAAGATGTGGGGTAAGATGCCGTTTAATACGCCGGTAGTAGATGCTCGTGAGCTAGGGACGCATGTCTTTTTAATCACACAGTGGTGTGATTCAATGCCTTGCTGGCTCGGAGTGATACCGCCTACAGCAGCTCCGTTGATGTGCCAACGATTCCACCTCTCCGTTAGATAAATATCTTTGAACCGCTGAGCGTTGGCATCCTCTCCACGTGCTATCCAAGTTTCGATGACCACCACCGCAAGCTTTAGAAATTGAGCATGAGTACGAGACGATTTGAGTAGATACACGTCCGGCTTGATCATCTCCGCGAACAGATCAGCATCGACTAAGAGGGTCTACTTTTTGAGCAACTGCCGCACCAAGTGTGGCCAGCAGGTTACCAGTAATAGTCGGCCAGGTTGACTGGAAAGCAGACGCAATAACGTCGCTGTGGTCGAGACTGCCGAATTCAACATTGACTTCAATGTCGAGGAATGCCATGGCTTTTTCGCGAACGATCTGGAACATCCGAGCATATACAGCCGTCGATTCACTTCGAGCAAACATATACACCCAAGGGAAAAACCAATGCACACCCTTCCCGCGAGACCATGTCACAGCAGTGGATCCACAATCCACAACAGTCCAACCACCGAAATGAAGCTTGTATGTACCATCAGTGGCACATACAAGCTCATTTCCCTGAGCTCGCACTGAATTCGCGATGTTAGGGAAGACTTGTCGAGAACTGACAATAACCCCGAAAGATGTCCCTTCATCTTCTTCGCCAGACACCGTGAAGGTGTCGAGAACGATCATTTCGTCCATGTAAGAATCTCTCGGGTCTGTAACCGACATGAACTGTTCTCTTGACATACATACATACGAGATCACTCGCCCACGCTGTTAAAGAGGCGTGGTTTGAGATCTCCCAGCCATTTGCACTTTTGACTAAAAACGCTTTCCAATTTTCCAGTTGCTTCCTCGTCGGAATCAGCCGAAGTCTTTCAGGCTGATGCCTAAATCTGTGCAACAGAGTAGACCGAAGCTGTTGAGCTCCCCCATCCCACTCGAAGCAACGAATCAATCTCCTCCACGAGCAGAGGTTTAATTCCACGACGCTGAACCGAAATTCCTATTGCATCGTGTTGTCCCGAATCCTCCAGCTGATATGTCGTCGGTACTCCTTGGTATCGAAGCTCTTTAACTTTGAAGCGATGTTCACTGCGCTCATGGGAGCGACAGCGATATACCCTAGCGAGAATTCGATCTGTCTCATAGCGAGTTTCGTAGGTGTATATGTTGTCGCTTTGATCGATGATTGCTGTTCTAGCCGCATTGAAAGTGTCAAACACGCTAACCGTTGAGTACGCATGAGTGATTGCAGCTCTATCTCCAGTCTGTGATGTCTCTATCGCCTCCTCAAACTCATACTCCATTCTCGGATATGACTCCACCAATTTCAGAGGCTTCGGAATCGCTTTGGTTGAGTATTTGTTGGATCACGGTTGCGTTTGGTATAAATCGACTACGTCGCGAACTTGGACCACCTTCCGCCATGATGCCGCACCGAATTTTAGGCCGACCGGTACTTGAGAGAAGGGATGTACAGTTGATTTTCGTAGTTGGAAGAAAAGAGAAGTACGTTTGAAAGGACAACATCGGGTTGCCAATTGCCAAAGAATCTCCGTGTGTGCTTTTTCCGTTTGTAGGTGGCTCGTAGTGGCAGCTGTGGCTTCGGTAGCGAGTGTGCCAAATGGTGAAAGGCTTTCCTTTCCTGTGTTTTTATTCCACTACTTATTGGCTGCCATGGTTGTGTTTTACAACATATCATCAGCACAGGTAACAGGTAAGTGGCAATGATGACCAACAGGTAACCATACCTGATTATCGGTTGCTAAACAACAGGTCGATCAGTGCTCACAACAGATTAGTAGTGGCTGGAAGCGTCCAACAGGTAAAAAGTGCTAGAACAACAGGTAATAAATATCACCCATACGATTTGAGTCCCAGAACAATCGGTTCGACTTGAAGACCATGATAGCTTCGAACATGACGGGAGTCAATCTGGCTCCTCGGTTCGTGATGACATACTGAACAATCTCTCGTCATCGAAGAATGATATAGTCTGCATCATGCTCAATTGTTTGCGTTCTTGTAGTTCCTGATTTAGTTCGTCGTCTCCCCGAAATAATACGCCGAGGCGTCGGTGCTGGTCAAATCTCTATACGGCCTTTATATAGAGCGAGTTGAGCTTGAAATAACGTTGAAGTGAAGGGCAAATAGTGCAATTCTATATTGCAATACGCAATTGCATGATCACCACGGATTGCAAAACTCAATTGCACTCAGAAAGCGATGTAAGCTGCAATATACGTATATATATATATAACCCTTGCCTGTTTTTCGGTCAGAGAGATAGTGCCAACTGCAGAGAAGTTTAAAACGCGTAGCATACGCAGGCATTGCAAAGTTGATAAGGAATGCAGGGTTCGATGGCCGCATTTGGTGGGCACTGTGCAGCAGAGGTCAAGTTTTATAAGTTAAATCACTCAGTTTCGGGTCTTATTTATATAACTAAAAAGCTTTTTAAAACTTGATTTATCTAAGCCTACTTTATTAAATTAAGCTTGCTATAAAAATAAACTTGCTGGCCCATTATGCAAAAGGTGCACTGTCACTTTTTCAAAAAAGTTTCATTTTATTATTAACATTAAGTTTCGGAATTGTTTCAAACTCAAAAGTTCTTTTTCTAGTAAACATTATTTTTTATTTTTTAATGTTATTACTTTTTATTAATTCAATAAAATAATAATAATTATATCTTCTAAAATAAAATAAAAAATATTATGGATTTTGAAACAATTGTTTTGTACTTTTTCAACTGAGAATACGATCTCAACCAAAAATCATAGTTTGATCTTGTAAATCACATTCAGAAGCTTGATCACAAATAGGACAATCTAAAGGATGATTTATTAAAAGAAATTCTAATACACTTTCTCGTGAATAATATTTGTAAAACTTATATTTATTAGAAAAATTAAATTTAATAAAAATTAGAAAAATAATGTTTTCAACTTTATGACAACTCCGCAACCAAGTCGCCCACGAAGGCAAAAAGTGGAGACAGGTTGAGCAATTCGAATACATGTGGGCTGTCTCCAGCAACTGCGGGTGGTGGCACGCAGGGAGTCACCCCCAAACCTGGGTTTGCGGAACATTGTTACTGCTATGTACAGACGGCTTCGCCAGGATGTGCACCGACTCAGCAGGTTAATGTCCTCAAGAGGTTCCAGAACCGGCGCAGTAGCGGAAGCAGAAGGAGCCCAAGCTAGGAAAACGCATAAAGTTTGTAAGGAAGCTATTAACTATACTACTTTACTATTACTATCTGTCGCAATCCCTCGCCACATTAGAGATTATGGTACTGTACATCACTGCATGATATTCTATTCTTAAAAATCAAATAGAAGGCCAATTTAGCATTATCATCATTACTGCATGGTATTCTATCCATTCGACCAGCATGTACACATTATGGACGTCGATAATGTCTGAGCAAGGCTCTTCGGTGCGAACCTCCACTTCGTATTGGCTCATTTTACAATTTATCGTTTTTTACTCTACCGCACGGCCACATCAAGCAATCATGAGCTGCTGCCCTTCCGTCATGGAGCCGTCCAAGGAGACCGCCGCCAATGCAATTGTCGCAAGGACCTTCCGCAACACGAAGCTCTTGTCGCCGGTCCTCTCCAATCCAAGGCTGGTTTGATTGCCATTCCCGACATTTTTGGCCCGGACAGTGGTCGTATCAAGCAGGATGCTGAAGCATTGGCCAAACTGGGTTACACTGTGGTGCTTGTGGACGCCGCTGATGGTAACTACCCAGTCACTCTCGACGGCGTGGACATCCCAGCATGGCTGAAGAGAAACAGTTTCGAGAAGGTAGCGGCTGCCCATGTGGCTAACGTCATTGCCTACCTGCAGGAAGAGATCGGCGTGGAGTCCATCTGCAGCTACGGTTACTGCTGGGGTGGGTATGTTGGTGCGAAGCAGTCGGCCCTGGAGGCCCCTGCTATCAAGGGTCACGTCTCGTTCCATCCCAGTTGGATTGCCGAACAACTCGTGAACGGTGAAGGTGCCGTGGAGAAGATGACGGAGAGCATAACAGTTCCTCAGCTTCTATGCGCGGCTGGCAACGGCCCTCCTCTTGTCAGCGAGGGTGTTGTGGTCGAGAAGATTCTTAAGGCCAATTTTGCTATCGCCAAACAAAGCAACGTGGTAAACTTCCCGGATATGATCCACAGCTGGGTGTGCCGCGGTAACATCGACGATCCTCCGACGAAGGAAGCTGTGAAGAAGGGGCAATTGCAATAGATTTGGTTAGCTGTTCAGCCAGCTAAAAGCTGTCCTCCCAGTAAAATATGTTATAGTAAGTATAATCCTTTTTCTATTGTATGTGAAGCATTTAACGCCGTTTTGAGCTGATCCCAGTAGGCTATTTTACTCGATGCAATGACCAGACCAGTGTTGCTCATATCCATTGCACGTTATGCTACTAGAGAACTCAGTATTACATCACAAATCTTCGATTCCAAGACTTGGAATGTGTGGAGATATAAAAAATGTTTCACAGCGTATGACAATTATCAAAAAAAAATAAACTTCAATTAAAGAACCCCTGATGTTTGTCTGGAGTTTATCAATCATTTCCCCGCGTTCAATTTTTAGTTTTGCTGAGGTAGCAGCAGCGTACTGGGTAAGTGCTATTTGCATAAACGCACAACAGAAATTAAAGGCAACGCCTTACGCACGATAATGCTCGAATTTGATACGCTGAACCCCCGCTTCGATGCTCGTATTTCATATACACCACGTACGCCCCTTTCGCGTTATTTAGAATCGAGTATCGCCTTAACAAAATTCGCGTAAAGAACGGCGGCGCCTGAAACTATGCCAAGCCCCGCGAGAACCACGACAACCTTAGCCCACTTAGGAAGCGGAGTGTTGTCCTTCGTCGTGTCAAGGATTTTCTGTGATTGCTGGGAGATGAACTTTGATGTCGACGGACTATCCATTTCGTGAGTGGCATACCAAGTAGCACCCACTGCACCCACCCTCTCCTCATTATTCGTCTTCTGCGCTCCCTTGAGATGTCGAACTTTGTAGTAAGAGTCAGAACGCTCGATGGTTGACGCCGCAGTGGTATTGATTAGCGCAGTATCTTCGGCTACGACGATCGCTACAATAAGAGCCGCGAGGAGTGTCGGATATAAGGTGAAGGTCATGCTTGACGTACGAGAGCCTTCGTTATAGAGGTAAATTCCTCGAATGGCCGGCTCGCATTGTGCGAGCCGGTCCCTGTACGACATCGGCTACAGATGAACTGTAAAGACGTGGTTTAATACACTATGGTATTGTAATACTAAGTAGTACTGTAGAGCAAACATCATTGATGAGTCCGTTAGTAAAACTCATGAGATAGGAAGTATACAATGTAGTCGTGCACCACAAACCGGACACTCTAGTGAAGAGACTCTCCATTATACTGAAACGCTAGCTATTACAGTGTACTGATCACGTGACTTTACATGTAGCGGCTAAATGTTTAACAATCAAATGCTTGAGAGCTCGGTGAAGAAGAGCGCATGGATAGAAGAGCACAGAGATTATTCTACACTAACTTTCAGGGAAATATCAGCTGTGTACGATGTTTATAAAATATGCACTATATGCATCACTCCCGATGGTGACGCCGCCTATGAAATAGCACCTAAGCTATTAACACTGCACATCTCTCGCAATCAGGGGTAGGGGGGGTGGCTTCCGGAGGTCTGCACAATATTGTCATATTGCTGCCTTTTGCTGATTCCTATTGGTTAATAGCCAAAACACAGAACAGAACAATGCCATATAACGAGTTTAAGAACGCTGTTACCACTATTCACTACGAAAAAGTGGTTTTTGGACTGGTCGTAACCCAAAGTCCTACCTCGTGTGAGACTACATACCACCACTAGTCTTCATACATAGGGAAAATTCCAATGGGGAACTCGATTTGAAAAATAATTTTAATTGGGGACTCACTTTTTACGGCAACTAATTCGTACTCATATTCAAATAATCTAGATTAGTGCTGAGACCAGATGAAACACCTTTGAAACCCTTCGTTCCGCTTCTTCTCCAATCTCGAGCTACAAGAGCACTAAAACACGTTTGAAAGATTACGAGTAGCGACATGGTTCGTATAGGTTCCCAGCAACTTGTAGAAAACACGAAAATGATAATCATAGTGAAGAATCGATTGGTCTCGGCCTCCGGGTCCGTAAGATGTGATACCAGTTTGAGAGGTGCTCCTCGCAAACATGCAAGACGGCAACACCATATTATGTCTGACGTGGGTAGGAAAGGCGGGTACCTGTCAAGAGCTCAGCCGAGTGACGATCGCGACGTCTGGTACTCATGCAACCCTCGCACAGGAACGTCACTAGCCCCAGCTGAAGCACTGACTCAAAGACTACGGTTGCAAAATGGCAGTGAAAGACCTGAAATTAGCTTGACTTATCATAGGTATGGCACGACGATTTGTATTATCCAGCGCAGATATGCCAGGCTTGCTCCAAGTGCGATTGTTCGTGTCTGCTGTCAGTGGGGGGGGGGGGGGGGACAACGCGCAAATGGACATGAATTGGATTGGCGTTAGGTGCTACCATGACGGTTGCACTCGTGCAGATCTCTTCTTCAGAAACACCGATTAGTACAGTCACGCCGTGAAGTGGGGTTGCTTCGAAGAATTTGAGGGGAGATTCACTAAGTGTTGATAAATTGTTAATATGCTACTGCTAGAGAAGATCGTCGCGGATATGAAGCTCCCATTACGAGCGGCATTCGCCCAATGCACGCGCAACTATATGGTAATGCCCAAAGCATGTCTCGGGAATGTTGTCGTTGTACTATTTGAGATGACAGAGCTGCAATCGGGGGAGCATACGAAGTGGATGATCCTTCCTGGTGTGCATGAGTCACCATTAGCCTTGTCAGCCACACCGAAACGACTAGAAAACAACTCGGGACACATGTGGATGATGTTAACCACCATAAAAGGCAGCATAACCTGTTCTGTTCCTTCTAGATATTGGTGGAAAAACATGTTTCTTTAGTGGTCGCGAACGGGCAGTGACGTGGCAACGGTGCTACTAAGTTGGCACGAACACCTTTGACACCGAAGCGGGTGAGGTATCTACGGTAGTACGAGCACAATACGTCGGACAGCATAATTTTATTGGGCTGTAGACATCAGTCATCTGAAGCCGAATAAATACCGCAAATGCTTGAGCGGCATCCGGGTACATTGAACGAGCGCTGGCGTGCTATCTGAAGCGGTAGTTCAGCTGGCATATGCTGTTGATGCTGCCAGTGTTTGAACAACCCGTTGGTCCCAGAACGCCGGTACTGTTAATTGCTTCTTTCTGGGGCGCCTGACAGACTCACAGGAAAGTGAGTCAAAGGTTACTAGAGTTGCAAAGCCTTCTCAGATACTTGGTCGATGGAGCTAATAGGATTTTTAATGAGTCCCCCCTCCCCCGAGGAGGGTACTTTTGAGCGGTGGGGGCCTGCGGTAGCTCAGTCCCGCGGTGCTGTGAGCACGATGAAGGCGTAGCGCCGGTGGAATGCCCGGCAGGTGACCTGCTGAGGATCATCGAAAAGTGAACATAGGGAACAGACGCAAGCGCAACGGATTGTGGAGCACCACCGCGGGTAGGTATGCACGCATCCGTAGAACAACTAGTCGGTCAACTACCAGTGAACTCTCCGGAAAAGGCATTTATGAAAGTGGCCTTGTTGAGCTTTGCGGTTAGCAAATTAGGTTCTTCGGTGACTTGGTTCTAGTTGAGGCTGTGATCAAGTGATATCGTGCCGGCGCTTAACCCCGCACATATCCGTGTGTCGAACGGGACAACGTTGCAGGGATGTCGTGCGGATTGGATTTGGCTCACTAGGACTCAAGTTGTCGAAACTGCTTTGAGATTATCCTTGTGCTCGAAGTAACAAAGAGGCGGCGAACCAGCAGCGCCTTGACCTCATCAAGCGCGACCAGGAGGTGATGGGCGGTGTGGCGAAGTGGTTCTGCGAAAATTTTTGATCGCTGAGGTACTCTTGCACACTGCGGCCGAACGGCCGACCATACTCCGACCTTCCGTGTAGTTGCAATGCTCACCTTGTGTGGGCCGATTCGCTCTTCGGGTGATCTCGGAAGCGACGCTTGGGCTGGTTTCTTGGACTGTCTGCGTAGACAGCGGGACGTTCGGCAGCGACGGGGATACTTCTACTCGCTGCGTCGATTACGGTTTTGAGTTGTCGATCTTAAGGTATGAGATCGCACTCTGTCGATCTTAAGACGTAAGATCGACGGTCTTGGGGGGGGGGGGGGGCGAGATTGGTCTTGGCCCGAGGGGTATCTTATGTTCGGCAAATCGCATTCCTTCCTTTACGCGCTTGCCGCTTCCTTTAGCGGTTGGCCTTGAGTGAGGGTTGACGGTCGCCCTGGTCAAGCAATCCAGGCGCTCGAACTTCGATCTTGCGTAGGTATGCCTGTAGCGCGTCGTCGGGTGGGCCAAAGTCGATCCCTTGCCCGGAATAGCGAAGACGAAGAACACTTGTTAAGTATGAAGAAAAAATAACTCTGTTTAATGGGTTAGCCTCGTCCTATGTCAAAAATTGTGGCTCGAACACCTGCTGTTTTTATCTCGAACTCCCGTGTATCACTCGCTCTTTCGTCGGCTGTTTAAGCTGCTGGCGGGTCCAAATCGTGGGTCCTTTACCTTATGGTCGCGTAATCCTCCGCAGACTCGATAAATCGTGGGTACAATCGACTTGGACAGGTGTGGTGTATACCACACTTGAGATCGCCATAATGGGTGGTGGTCCATCTTGACTGATTGGAACTGATCGTGCCCAATCTCGGAATATTCTGAATCTGCTTCACCACAGCGGCGCGTCCAATCTTCCTCGTGATGTAGGGCAGCTACTAAGCCGTCGGACCAGATGTGCGTGACAGTAGTGAGAGCGAACGTTTCTCTCGTTCTACCGGCGCAATTATCACCGCCGATGAACCGAAACACAGTTTCGCCAGCTTGTGTCGCACGGATGAGCCCCCAGATGCTTGTCGGAATTCTTCTAGGGCTAAAAAGATACGCGCTTGTCAGCGACAAGATGCATGCGACGAAATGGTGAAGCCATCGTTTGAGTAATATTAGAGGGATGCGAGGTATGAGCAGTAGTGCTTCTTGGAGACAGAACAAGCTCCTGTAACCCGAGCAGGGAACTGAACGGAACTCGATTTTCAATGAGGCTCTGAGAGCTCCCGCAAGCAGTATAAAAATCACTGGTCAGGTGTACATGTACGATAGAGAGGTGATGCTTGGTCTCGTGCAGTATTAATTGCACATATGGTGTCTGCGCCCTGATTAACCACATCGAATTCTCGAAGACGCTACCACGGTCGTTACACACATCTCGTGTCACTCGGTGTCATTAACACCATCACTGTTTCATAACTCGGAGTAGGTCAAAGCAGGTTGCACACGCGGGTGTCGGGAGTGGTGCCACGTTGGGTCTAAAGTCGAGTTCGAAATTAGAAACACCTGAGGGGCTGTCCACAAAACTGGCAATACGGTTAGCGCGATTTGTAATTTATGACGGAGGCACCATAACGGCGAAAGCGGGTTACAGAAGTTGCACCAAGCGTCGACGGATTGTCGTGGAGATTAAATCTGTAAAACAGTCTCTTATGTTGAGCGAGGAATATTGTGACCACATCGATTCTTGCTGGACGGGGCAGGAACGATTATAGACGGCGGGCTACTAGATTCTGACCAGCAGGAGAAATGCACTATTGTGATTACAATATTAAACATTCGTTCTTGCGCTATCGACTATTAATCTGATCCGACGATAGATCAATGCAACGAAGTGCGTGCAAATGGATACAGAAGGCCCTATGATGTCTCGTCGCAGTAGAAACCAAAGTATTTCACAATTCATATCGCTTGTCAGTCGCACACACACACACACACACACACACAACTCTAGAACCTGGGAAACTGAATTCTGAGCAGCGAAGTGGTACATATAAAGTTGGTTTAGCGCCAGTGGTCATAATGCACAAAATGTCACAAGCAACTACTACTAAAATGGGCTATAAAATCAATTAAACTGCTTCACATCCCTATGATCCCTTGTTGCTGCTGGAACAGCGACAACGTTTCATAAGAAAAACAAAATACAGCCTGTTGAGCGCACTCGCGTGGCTTCGCACGACTATAGTGTAAAATGTTATCAACTGGCTTTCGTAAAATATACAGTATAGCTGGATTATCACATGACTCGTATCTACTGTAACTGGCCAGGTATTTATCCGTTACCAGCTTTCACTGTAGATAGGAGGAAGCTCGCAATTATCAGGAACATTCAACTCTGACTTTGTTAAGGACCAGGTGGTAGCCATGGTCGCTCAAATATATGTCATCGCCTGATTGGCTAGTAATGTGTCCGGCTCCCATAGATCAGTCAATAAGATGATTGCAATTCATCACATGAGTATCGTGTGCTGATGCACCTACTTTTGTAGAACAATCTATCTACTTATGAAATGGAGGGGCCCATTACATCACCCTTAAGGGTGCACATACGGAGCTTAAGTGACGGGCGCAGAACAAATCAATCAACGCGGGAAAGGAGAACGGGAACTCGGCTACTGACTTCGTCAACTATTTGTTTCTATGCGTTATGCGATCTGTTGGTGCTAGACGGTAGGAGTGTATGGGTCATGCGAGCTTGGAGTCGCCAATACCTAAACTGACCTGGAGACCGTCAATCTTATACCTCAAGATCGACAAAGCCCGCGATCTAATACATTAAGATCGACAATTCAAAACCGTAAAGTGCACAGCGGCAAAAGTATCCCGCTGCTGCCAAACGTCCAGTTATCAATGCAGGCAGTCCAAGAACTCAACTCAAGCGTTGCTTCTGAGGTCACCCGAAGATCGAATCGGCCCACCGGATGGTACACTTCATGAAAGATCGGATACTCCCTCCGTCAGCAATTCGAGTGCAGTGTGCAAGAGAGACGCAGTGACCAGCAATTTCCGCAGAGCCCCTCCGCCACATACACAATGCAGAACTCGAAGCACTCTACGAGCGTTGATTCATCGTCCTGCGTCGATCTACGACAGTTGCTACAACTGCGACGAAGTTTCACTGGGTCAACCTCAAGGCGGAAGACGTCACCGTGCTCGAAGCGGAAGGTTGTCCCATGCTGGACCCGAGCGGCGCGTCAAAGGTATGCGTCTGGCTGGAAACGACGGTTCGGAATCAAAGTGGGACCCTGTATTGCGGATGCTGTCGTGATCAGGACATTCGGTCCTTTGTTCGGTACTTGGAGTATTGCTGCTCCTGCGATCCAGAAACCGGTGACAGTTCCAGTGGTTGTGTTCGTGGAGAAGCACGCACACTAGCTTGTTTGGCATCGGCTTAAATAGCCGAAACTATGCGATACACAGCACGAGGCATTGTAGAAGACCAACACCGGCGCAGCATGCATTCGCTGAGGGGCCTGCGGAGCCACGATCATGTATCGAGAGGGTATCGACGATCTGACGGTCCATTTCATTGAAGTGGGCATCCGACCTGTACACATTTTATATGCGCCTGTGTAGTGAGTCCGTCTTAAGCCCGACCGTTCTACAACGTTACAGCGATGATGCGGCCTACCACCCTATACGGGCTAAGCCCAATCCTACCGTCGGTCTGTGGCGCGGTAACCACATACATATCCATACAACACAGTCAACGTCTGTGCCATGCTGGAAAGGAAATCGGCTTCAACATCACGTCACGCATTCACGAATTTCATTGGTCACCATATCTGATCTAATATCTACCAATGGCCGTAGCCCTACCATGGCCACCAATCCGATGGCTACCATTCCTATATTGATAACCCAGCGTAGAAGTATCACTAGATGGAGGTGTCGTCGGGCTCTTCCTGGGAAGCGCTGCTATGGAGCCTGCTTGCTGTAGACAACGCGGCCCGCAATGCGGCCGAGTCGCAATTTGCTGCGCTCAAACAGGCCTCCTGTAGCGACGAACTGCTGCTAGGTTTGGTGCACGTCGTGCACTCAACCAGTCCGGATGACATCCGCGCGCTGGCTGCTGTCCTGCTGCGCCGCGTGCTGCTGCGCGACGCCGTATCGCTCTGGCCGCGGGCCACGGACCAGGCCCGCGCCGAGGTCAAGCGCGAGCTGCTGGCCGTACTTGAGGCCGGCGAGATGAACCGTGGCATTCGTCGGAAGGTGTGCGATACGGTGGGCGAGCTGGCCAGCAGCATCCTGGAGGACGGCCAGTGGGATGGCCTGCTGCCCACACTGCTGCAATGGAGCAATGCACCCATGGTCACACTGCGCGAGACTGCGTTGCGAGTGTTGGAGATGGTGGCCATCTTCCTGGCCACCCAGATGACTCAGGCCGAGACGTCGGAAACCATTACGTTGGATGTCACAGTACTGCAGACCATGGCCAAGGGTCTGGCCGACCGAGAAGGTCGCGTGGCCCTCAATGCGTTGCGTGCTTTGAGCATGCTGCTGCTCAATTTGGACGCTCTGGACCAAGTGCCTCGGCCAGAGCTGCTGGCCAGCGCTGTACCACTTGTACTCGCTGTACTTCACGCTCTACTAGTCACAAGACAGTTCGACGAGGTAATGGAAGCTCTGGAAGTCCTGATTGAGGTGGCCGAGCCCCACGCGGCCTTCTTTAAGCCATGCTTACGCGAGTTCGTGGACACTATGGTGCAAATCGCCGACGCTCCACGTGATGAGAGCGACGACAATGCCATGCTCGATGGCTGCCGCCAATTGGCCATGGAGTTTCTAGTGTCTTTGGCTGAGCAGGCCCCGTCAAGGTGTCGTCGGCTGCCCAAGAACATGTTCGTGGAGACAGTGTACCCGGTGGCCTTCAAGATGATGCTGGAATTGCAGGACATTGACACGTGGGACGTGGCTAATTGCGAGGACGAGCAATCTGCCGGTGGCCAAGGTATTGACCAGGAGATCTCCAACTTTGACGTGGGATCCGAGGCCCTGGAGCGGTTAGTCGGCGCACTGGGGGCTAAGCGCTCGCTGCCTACATGCTTCGCCCTTATTCAGGAATATGCGGCCCGTTCGGACAATTGGGTGAGTCGTCACGCGGCCTTGGTGGGTCTGTGCCAGATTTTGGACGTACTCGACGACGAGAACTTGGACGCCATTGTGCGCCACTTGCTGACTCAGGCCAACGATCCCCATCCTCGTGTATGCTGTACGGCCGTCGATGTCATCGGCCAGCTGTCCGTCGACCAGGCTCCGCAGTTCCAAGAGGCCTACCACCAACAAGCTCTCACTGTGTTGGCCCACTACCTTGAAGACTTTAACAAACCACGTCTCCAGGCTCACGCTGCTACCGCTCTGCGTCAATTTATCGACATGTGCCCGCCTGAGCTGCTCACTCCGTACTTGGAGAAGATGTTACATCAACTTTTCGCGCTGCTCCAACACGGCCAATCTCTGACTTCAACAACAGGCCAAACACACACACAAGCGTTTATCGCTGCACGAGTTGTCCAAGAACAAGCTATCACTGCTATCTCGTCAGTGGCCACAGTGGCCGGCGCGTCTTTCACGAACTATTACGCTGCAGTGATGCCCCCGTTGCAGCAGATTCTCATGAATTGTCTTCAAGAGAGTATGCAGGCTGCGGCCGCATCGCCGGCCGTGCTCAAGCCGCAGTCTAACGCTCCCAGTTCATTCACTCTTGGTGGAATTACACTCGAGTGTCTGAGTCTCATCGGCCAGGCTGTTGGCAAGGAGGTGTTCTCACGTGACGCTCCTGCCATCCTCAAGGTGATGGCCGAGATGCAGGCCACGCCGTCGATTGTCGGCAACGAGTTGATCCGCACGTATCTACTGCAAGCCTGGGCCCGCTGCTGCACGTGTCTTGGCCATGATTTCGCGCCGTACTTGCCGCTTGTGATGCCTACACTTCTCGAGGCGGCCACACAACAGGCCGAGTTCGAAGTGGACCCTACGACGCTGTCCAGTGACGACGACGACGACGAAAGCGGCGGATCTACGGACAGCGAAGACATCCAACTAGCTCAAGTTAACGACAAATGTTTGAGTATTCGCACATCTATTCTAGAAGAGAAGGCCACGGCCTGTCAGCTGCTGGCCGGGATGGCAACAGACCTGGAAGACGCCTTCTTCCCTTACGCCGAACAAGTGACTCAGGTGCTGGCCCCTTTGTTAACCGAGTCAGTACACTCGGACATCCGCGCCTCGGCCATCCGAGCGATGCCTGCACTCGTCAAGTGCGTGGCCATCTCCACTGCCGCCCCGGCCAAGGAGCACAGCGAAGTGGCCATCAAGCAGATGGTGGACTTCGCTCTTGGCCGACTAGTTAACGCACTAACGTCGGAGCCCGAAGTGGATCTGGTTGTAAGTATCATGCAGAGTATGATCCGCTGTCTGACTGACGCACGAGCGCTGCACCCGACGCTGGAACTTAACGAAGCGCAGTTAAGTGAGTTGGTACACGGTCTACTAGTGGTTCTAGGCGACAGTTTCCAGCGTCGCGCAATGCGACGAGGAGCTGGTAGCGACATGGAGGCAGAAGACGAAGAGGACGACGCGTCTCAGTCCAGTGAGACTCAAGTGGCCGAACAGGAGCTACAGTTCGTGTTGGCGGAGTGTATCGGGACGCTGGCCAAGACTCATGGCGCTGCGTTCTTCCCCGTGTTTATGACTCTGTTGTGGGAGAAGGTGGCCGCTCTGGCCGCCCCTGGTTGTCTAGTAGAAGACCGTCGTCTGGCCTTGTTTGTAGTGGACGATGTACTGGAACATTGCGGCCCGGCCATGCGTCGTCTGGACGTCTTCTTACCGGTCCTGGAGAGTGCGTTACGCGAGGTTAACGAGCCCAGTCTGGTCCAAGCTGCCGCGTTCGGTGTCGGAGTGTGTGCGTCTCAAGGTGGAGAGGCCTTCGCGCGACACGCTGATCGGTGTCTCCAGCTACTTCACAACGTTGTGGCCCACCCGAATGCACAAAGTTCGGAGCAACGCAACGCTACAGACAACGCTGTGGCCGCACTAGGCAAGTTGTGCGAGTACCAGTCGGGCGCAGTAGACGCCGCCACGTTGTTCCCGCAGTGGCTGGAGCTGCTTCCTCTTCGTGGAGATTTAGAAGAATCTCTCGCTGTTTCTCGCCGACTATGTGGCTATGTGAATGATAGACATCCTCTTGTGTTGGGAGCACCGGACTACCGACATCTAGGCAAGGTGGTGGCTGTATTATCCGCTGTGGCCGACGAGAAATATCTGCGCAAGATGAGCAAAGCGGTGGGGGAGAAAGAGGCCTCAGCTCTGCGTCAAGAACTCGCTAAAACGCTCACAGGCCTCCGCTCTACGGTTCCTGAACAGGTCATGGGCCAGGCTTGGGCCTCGTTGCCAGCTTCGCAACAAGCAGCACTGCACGCGCTGTTCGCGTAAGGTTAGTATCAAGTCTATGAAGTTTTAAGATTTTCATAAAGTCGGTAATAGTAGCTGCATAACTTTTGGGAGATTTCAAATTTTAGAATCTGGAATCTGTAGATATTAAGATAATCTAAGGATTATCCGTTTGTGGCGCCTAGAGTAGGCGTCGCTCCGTTACGTCCTTTGTCCAGATTGTTAACTGTAGAATCGCGTGACATGCCTCGAGCTTCTTGAACAAGGTGGAAACGGTGACGCAGAAAGGCCATTTCCAGCTCCCCTCGAAGCATTTCGGCTGGATAATCCTCGTGGACAGTAGCCCATGTGCCTACCAAAGCCATGAAAATCCGAGAATCCAAGAAATCAGGCATCACGACGTTGCGCATGTGGTCGTAGCACTCGTTCTCCACTTCATCGAATGTTGTACGACATGCCACCTCTAGCTGCGCTTCCACACGTTCACGTAGTGCTGGGGCGAGTGGAATCTGCGAGCGTGGATTATTTGGATTCAGATATTTGTCGTAGATTTTCTTGGCCGACCGCAGTACAATCTGGTAACTTGGCAGTCTTCTGTAGTGCTCAATCTCCTCCCAGAGCATCAGATTTTCAGAACAATGTTGAAAATCCAAGAACTTACGGAACGCTTGCATGCACCCTGGATATGTTAGAAAAACATCCAAGTGGCAAAGCTCCAGCTTCCCCGCTTTTGCTGCTTGATCGACAGTGGCCAAGTGTGCATCTGCAGGAGTAGATTTACTGTCTCGACGCAGTTCCTTGTAGTAATTTGACTTGACGAAGCGCGGGAGCGAGTCCTGCAGCATCCCGTGGCGTACACGATTAGCGATTTTCTTGAACATGTCCACGCTTGGATTCGAGAGTCTCGTGAAAATCTCATCTCGCATGGTCTTACTCATATCCACCTGCAGTCGAGCGCTGGGGACGATGTACTTGCGGTAGATTTTCTTGGCGGAATGCTGAAGAAATTCGATACCTGGTAACAGCTTAAAATCCTCCACTTCTTCGCAGAACGCTAGCAATGAGTCGACACCTCGTCGAGTCATGAAGAGCTTGAGGTATTTTTTGGCATAGGGATCGTTCAGCAGCAATGTCAGTTCTTGTTCAGGCGTAAGAGTTTGTTCTTCCTCGAGTTTTTGGATGGATTTTCGCCGCGCCGCCCCTTGAATGGAGTCGGGAAACGAAAGAGGGATAAGTTTCGCAACCGGATAATGCATAGCAGTGTCAATAAGCTGGAACTCTGCCAGTCCGTCCAGCTTCTTGTGGACAGCCTCACTCTCTTCGAATCGATTGCCACGTCGTGTAAGGTGTTTGGCGTCTGGTTTGACCTCTTTCGAGTGGTCCAGATATTCCTGTGAGCGGCAGAATCCGGGCCAGATTTCGTCGCTAATACGGTTAAAGACACCCATCTGGATTTCGTAGAATAACTTGGGCACGAGAGCTCCTTTATTCTCCACGACATCGTGGATTTCTTTCAACGCTCCATTATCTCCCAGCCCGACGATAAAGTTTTTGGACGCCGGAGAGCAGTACCGGTCATAAATTTTTCGAGTCTTGTTGACCACGAACGACAAGTTTGGCAATCGCTTGCAGTCCTCGACTTCCAGATAGAAAAGCAGATTTTCCAGCGCCAAAGCTTCCATACAAAATGTCTTGAGGAACCGTAGTTTAGCTGGATGCGCTAGAATGCCCAAAAGGGAAAAATCTTCCGCCTCGTCCAGATTATCCGTGATGTTGGCAGCCACAGTTCCTGTAGCCGAAGCAACCGCAAGAGGGGTGGGTCCGTTGCCTGATCCAGTACTAGACGATGCTCCAGAGTTAGGAACGATTGGGGCGCAGAAATCCTGCATCTTCCGGAATAATTTACTCTCTCGGAAGCGTGGATACACGGATTTTTCCAGCGCGATAAAGCAGATTTGCTGTGCACCGGCGTAGATTCCAGCGGAGATATTATCTCCTTCGAGCGCTTTTTCGATATCCTGCAGCATTTGCGCCGTGACACAAACGGGTGAAGGCGCTTCTGGGGATAAAAACTTGTCATAAATCTTGCGTAGACGCCGGTGAGTGTACGAATGGGACGGAAGATGCTGCAATTCGTCAATTTCGACCCAAAATCGAAGCATGTCCGCTCCACTGGGCACTTTGTTGGCTTCCGCGTACTTGAGGATCATCTTGAGCGTCGTTGGATCCGTTAGTACGTCTGTTGTAAACACAGGAGCCAGATTTTGTACCAGATCAAGCGCAGCCCGAGAAGAGCCAACTGCTCGTCCAAAGCCTTTTTCAACAGTAGACCGGAGGATTCCGTGCTCATCAACGTGAGTTTCGACTTCATGGTCGTCATGAAAAGGGTTCGGATGGATGTCATTGGGCAAAGCCTTGGGCGACGCAATGCTGGGCTCTATAATCGCCTCCTTCGTCTCGGATGATGAGGAGACTGCGGCTAACGTAGCGGCATCCAGTAGCGAGCTTGAGCTTTTATCAAGATCTCCAGACTGGTTAAACAAAAAGCGGTAAGATACATGTAGCGGATAATATGAAAAAAATGAAAATTACCTCAGTCGCTGGTAAAGTTTTCACGAGAAATGAATCAAGACTTTGCGAAGTTTCGAGTCGTGACTGTGCTCCTAAACGAGTGACTACTATACCACGAAGACTACGGAAAATCTCTTCTTTCGAGTCACCCGCCGCAATGCGACGATCGTACTCCTCTTTCGTCTATAAAGCCAACATAAATTAGGTACGAGGAAAATAAAGACATTGTTTTATGAAGACAAACCTCTTTAAATATCACGGACGCGTCCGGGTCGTCCACCGATGCAGCGGCTCCCATCTCGACTGAGTCACGTCGATTCCTGTCGCCCGCGTCAAGCCACGATGCTCGTCCAACGCTTTGCCGAAGAAAGTGATGAACCTGCCAGCTCAAGTCGAGGTGGAAACTAATTTCGGCACAACGAAACTCGAGCTCTGAGCAAGGTGCTATTGATAGAGGGAGACCACATTTGCCAAGCGCATGTGTCACTATAAATGGCGGAGATTTTTGTAGATGCTCATTTTTTTCTATGACCAACGTTGTACACAGTGCATCACACGCTTTCGCTGCTTTAGACATTTTTTTTTTTATCATATACGGATATTATATAGTACATGTGGAAGACCATTTAGACTAAGTGCTCTTATTTATGATTGTTATTTCTTAGCATCTAGTTGGAGAATTCCTCGCTCAGGTCTACTTTACCCGCATACTATAGACCAGATAGCTGTCCCCGCAACTTCGTAGCAATATCCTTCGTGCTTGGCACCTTCTCGGCCAAAATGAGCATCAACGTCAGCTCTCTGCGTCCATAAGATCGTAACAACGTTGCAAGTTGATCATCCTTGTATCGAGGGTTCGCTTTCTTGAACATAGCGATGTAGTTCGTCCACATAGTGAACAGCGGACTTTCAAACAACTTCTGACCCCCATTTCCAAGTTTCAGCCGCTCGAAAATCAGCGCTGGAGGTGCAACAGCGAGAGACCATTCCCGTAACAATTCCGCTTCCAGTCGTCTACCAATCTTCGCAGTTTTCGTCACTTTCCTCGCCTCAGTAAACAACTTTGCCAATGTTGCATCACTGTAGTATACTCTCAACGTTGTTAGCGTAGACAGGCGCGTGCCGAGGTTTTTCTTGCGGAAATCGTCCGTGTACTTGACCCAGGCGGTAAAAATCGGGTGATTTAAGAAATTTGTACCTAATGTCTCCAATTGTAACATTTCGAAAATCGCTCCCGGCGTTCTGTTAACGCTCAGCCAATATCTTGTCTGTTCCGCTTGTATTCGACTCGCTAATGATCCCGCTGAGCCACCAGAAGACTTTGCCACGACTAACATTTTAGCCAGAGCTTCATCGTAGTATCGCGCGTTCAAAACGGAGAATAAAGTCGTTGATCTCGTCGGGTTTGCGTTGTTAAATGCGTCTACGTATCTCACCCACGTATTCAATTGAGGCTGGTCAAAAAGTCGAGCCTTGGCAGTTTCGAGCTTCAGCAATACAAAGACATCGTCGGGACGTTTCTTGGTACGAAGCCAGTGCCGGATCTGCTCTGTTTGGATACTAACAGCAAGACTTCTGGTCTTCCGTATCTTCTTGGCTGTTTCTAGCATGATAGCCACTGCTTCATCTCCGAATCGAGCGGTCAATGCCGCCAGTAAGTTCATTTTCTGCGTAGGATTCTCCTGG